TGCCCCACAGGCATTTAATCAATTGCCTTGGAAACAGAGCGTGTGGATACCCATGGCATGGTAAGTGCTGGCTCCAGCGAGGCAGCTTCCAGGAACAGCCCTAGGGGCAGCTGCCAAGACCAGCTGGTTTCTGGGGGCTCCCACGGGGTGAAAAAGGCCTTAAACCCACCTGGCTCTTTGCAAATAGAAAGCCACGCTGACCCCAACTGCTGTGACCATGTGGTTGAATAGTGATGATGAGTCCAACACCTGAAGCCTGATGCAGTCTCCACCACTTCTTCTTCCCTTCTCTGCTCATTCAGCTGCTGGAAGATGTAGCAGCCTTCAGAGATGGTTGGGACACATCAGGGCCACTTCTTGGTACAGTCCCTGCTAATGCAACTCGTTCACTGCTCTTGCTTGAGCCTGCAGGCCGTCAGTGTAGTGGCATCCAGAGAAAAACTAGCCCAAAGTGAAGTCAGATCCAGTTTTAGGTTGGATGCCTACAAGTACTTAGGCCTGGGTGTCTAGCCTGGACCACACAACACAAGGATCAGTTCTTGTGTCTGGAATCAGAGCTGTTTTTCCTCCACAGGCAGGAGCATGCAGAGAGTGTGCATGTCCTGGGTGGTCAATATTTGTTCCCACCTACTGCCAAATGTCTTGAACCTCTCCATTCTCTCAAAACCCTGCCATGGTGATGAAAAATGCCCAGTTCCTCCCACCTCCTCATTTTTTGCAGACTAGGTGGGTGTATGGGACATTCCTGCAACGGTCCAAACATCTGTCCTCACACAGACTGCCATTACAGCACTAACCTAATCTGCTCGTGAATTCTCAGTGCTCTACCCGTGTGCCAGTGGAAAACATCATCCACTTTAAGGACTAAGCTCTCCTCTTCTTCCCAAGCTTAGAGGAAAATAAGTAAATAAGTAAATAAATAAACAAATAAACAAACATTCCTGTGCTAAATCCAGCGCTGTTTAGTAACTGGAAATAATTATTGCTTCTCTCCTCTCCCCAAGTTATTCATCCTTGCTGCCTTGCTGTTAAGTCCAAGAAAGAGGCAACGGGTGCTCATTCCAACCCCCACTAAGCCGGAGCTCAATGCTCCTTTTTTGCTTTCCATGTTCCGGCGTTCTGTGTAATGGTGATAATCTCTGTTGCTTTGTTGGATCCCAACAATGAGCGGCTTCTGAGATTGATTAAAACCTCTCTGCTCAGCTCTGGCTGTGCATCGATTTTAGCAGCTGCTTCTTGCTTTGTGTATAGCACATCACAGAAATCAGAGATGGAAAAGACCTATTAGGTATCAGGTTGTTTGAGTGTCCCCACTTCCCTGCGGTCCCCTGGAGGCTGCTAGGACTGTTCATTACACTGCATTTGTGGCAACTTTCTTCTAATCCCTTCTCAAACGGCCCAGGGATGGAGCTGCCAGCCCTTCCTATGCAATACCCACACACACCTAATTAGAGATGTTGGCGTGAAGGGGGATGCTGGCTTCCTGGTTGTCAGCCCATTGCTCTTTGCCTCTGGGTAGAGAACGTCTCTCCAGAGCCTTCGGAATAAAGATGCCTCCTTGGGGCCCTCTGCTCTCAAGGGAAGGCACAAACAAGCCAGGCTTTGAAGTTAGTGGGGTTGTCTCTTGTTCTCAAGCAGGATGCCTAGGTTCTTAACAGCATTCCCACCTTTTCCTTTACACAATTCTTTTAGAGGTCCAGCATTCCTTCCAAGGTAAATGAGTGGACTGAGAGGAGACGTGCTGATTTATCCTGTCTGAAGACCTGACTGCTGACACCAACCCACACTCAGTCTCCATTTCTCCAGAAAGATTCCTCTCTGATGCTCCCTGTTTGCAGGTATATCCACTACCTAAATACTTAGAAGCATGAACCCTTTTAAAGGGTTTTACTGTTTTAAAGGCATTTTAAAGGCATCAAGTCCTATTTTCTCTTCTGCCTTCCAGCCTAACTCTCAGCTACTTCAAGACAGATGGACCTCTCAGAGGAGTCAAGGGGACCTTTACCAGGGAAACGGTCTGGGCTGTGCCTCTATGTGGAAATCATCTTATGACACATTCCTAGATCTGAGGCTGCCTTGCAGCCTACGAATTTGCATAGGAAACATCTTCAAGCATAAAGGATAGGATTTATGCCATCTAAAGGACAGTATCTAAAACTTGGATATTTCGTTTATTCTAGTCAACTTGTGCTCTATGGAACTGCCTGTAAGGATAGCTAATGCCATCCTAAAATAAAGCTGTGGAGCTAAGACTGGGGATTATTTTAAGTTTCCCCTTTCTGATGACTAGGGGTCTGCCCTCTGCCCTCTTTCCTTGGCTGTCCCTACAATATATCAGTACTGGGGCTCCTTGTTCCTGATTGCAGCGAACTGTTATAGGGAAGCAACCACCCAACAGAAGTGAACGTTATTCTGCTGGTTTGATTCCCTGAATCAGCCCCAGGGAAGGTCAGAGCCATGGTGGGGGAAGACAGGAGTCTGTGGCTGGGAGCAGGAGGTACAGGTGGGACACCCAGCTGTAAGGTGCGCAATAAAACCCCGTCCTTTCACTAAAGCGCAGGAAAAAGGGATAAAGCAGCTGGCAGGAAACTTTTACACCTTCCTATTCTCAATAGTGTTGAGCAGCTCTTGGCTTGGCCCAGGATATTTTCCATTTCGGCTGCCAGAAGCTTGCAGAACAATGGAGAACCAGACCCTTGTTTTCTGCATCGCTTTTGAAAAAAAAAATATCTTTGGACACATTAAATGAATTGGATTCAGCCAGCGCAAATTCTATCCAAGCTCCCATTATCTCGTGTTTCCCACAAGCTGGCTCTAAGACTTCAGAGGCTCCTAGCCAAGAGAAAACAGGCACAGGCCATGTCCACACAGCCGGGCAGGTGTATTCCTCAGCAAGACCTGTGTTGCTGAGTGCCCACACTGCGATCCCCATGGAATATACTGTGGTTCCTGCATAGCCTGGGACCAAGATTTACATCCCAAGGACACCTTGGAACATGGGGGCACCTGGAAGGCTCTAGCTGTGTTTAAGGACAGGGTTAGGGGATGCTCTGGGGATCAGGTCCAGAGCTGCAAAGCCTGGGGTAGATATGGGATAGGAAGAGGAAGCAATTTCAAGCGAGTGACTGTTTTGTACATGGAGCAGCAATCCCTTAGAGAGGCAGGGGCTGTGGATAGAGAGATAACAGGCAAGCATTCTCCCGGGCTATTTATTCATCTTATTTCCAGATTAATACTCAAACTTCATGCTTGCTGTGCTTGCTGCCTTTCTGAAGTCAGCTCTATTAAAATCAGTTCTACTTAGAAATAGAAGTGCAGGGGGAGGGAAACAGCCACATCTCCAACCTCTTTTTATGGGTCCACTTTTTCCTTCACCTGCCCCCGCTGCCCTTACTGGTGCAATCCTTCCCTCTCAAATCCTGCTGCACCAAACTGCCCGAAGCCCTAAGCATCGTGACTGGTCCTTCACTATAAGACTTGCTTCAACAAAAGTGGTAGACTTGAATGAATGGATGAACATCCAGCCCTCTCCACTCTACCAGACACAGCCGTGCATTTGGGGAGGGTATAGACACGTTTTGTGCCTGTGAGGCTGCACTCAGGACTCACTCCCTCATGTCAAATGAGATCAAGGGTCTGTGTGTAAGAACATGTGCACTGTGAAACACTATGCTCATAGTTGGCCCCATTGTTTTCATAAAAGTTTGAAGAAGCCTAGTCTGATTTCCTCAAGCCTTCCTTTCAGGTCCTATTTATGCAATGTAGAGAGAGCTCAGTGGCTGGTAACCTGTTTAGAGATTATAGTTTTCACAAATAACCTCAGATTTACAAGTTTTCCTATCACTTCAGAAATACCCCTCCTTTTCCCCATTAAGATTTCTACCTCTAGTTACCCAAAGGGCTGCTCTAATGCTCAGCACAACAGAGGAAGGTGGAATTGCTCTCGAGGAGACAGTATTGAGCCAAGAACGATGTGCAGGGTGGAAAGAGGGGGACTTCTGGGTGGATCAGCCATTAGCAAGATGTGATGGACACTTTGGATAAGTGGTGGGAGCCAGGAATCATTTTTTTCCATGGCTCTTTCTTTTCCAGTATGCTGCACCCGCATGAGGAAATTAATAAATTTGACTGCATCTGGGAGATAGCAGACTTGGTAGCTGTGCCAGCCACGGGCTGCCTGTGCGACCCGAGGCGCTCAGCTGCAACACATTTCTCTTGTGCTTTCCTATAAGAAAGGCGGCAGAGGGAAGCTATAAAGCATGTTGGGATGTTCAGATGAAAAACACTAGCAGATCAGAGCTGGACTTGGTCTCATAATACATCAAGAGCGATTATAGTTACTTCAAAGGCTTTCTGCTGGTGCACAGACAATCTTAATTTTTGTTTGCCTCTTTTTTGGGCATTTGTCCAAAATAACTTTTTTTTTTTTTGATAGCAAGTTTCCTCCCAAGTAATGTCTATGCTTTGTGTTATGTTTTCTTAAATAGTTTGAAATGAAGAAATGCCATTGATAATCAAGTATTTACCAGGAGGAATTGGAAGTTGTAGGTTCACTGCTTCAAAGTCAACCAAGTTGTTGACCAAAGGAAGGTTATCATCTTTCCTAGGAGCATCTGGTGTTATTCCCCTTTCAGGAATAAGTTTCCTAACTCAGACATTACCCTCCCTTTCTCCCACTGTCCCCCCTAAATACTGTCTTCATTTCCCCTTTTCCTCCTCCTCCTCATTCTCTCTATTGCAGTTTCATGGTCCATGCTCAGTCACAGCCAAACTTTAGGTATTTTAGCACTGAGCTACAGGAAATTCCTACCAAATGTTTGCACAGAGACTTGTCAGAGATTTTGCCAGATGTATGTGGATCTATATTAGACCATGTCCTTCTTCCTTCATCCTCCTGCCAAAAGTCAAATTCCTGAGGAACTAGAATCTGGGTTTGAGAGTGGTTTGAGGTTTGCACCCAAATCCACTTCTATGCTCCAATTTGTCGTCCCATGGTGCACAACACGCAGATAATTTGTCTAGATCCCTTCCTAGGACAGACCAGCACTGACTCTTGTGCATCATTATAGGAACTTCTGATGGACCTTTAGATGTAGAGAGAGGCAAAAGTGCCTCTTGACACAAGCTGTATGAAATGATGTTGAAGATCTGTCCGTTTGATCCTCAATAATAAATACAAAGGAGGACTTTGCTCCTAGCTGGACCTAATACTACTTTCATAAAATTGGGTTTATTATAATATGAAGATATGGTTAGATATGAAGACCTATTTGAAGATAAGATTTTGCATATAATGCCCTAGTTTGACAGTAATGTATTTGCTATACAGTTAAACCAAGAGGTTAAGAAATAGCTCCCATTTCTAGGTAACTACACAGGCATAAAAATAATAATTTAGTGGGTTTGGACAGAGTATTTTTTCTTTTTTATTCACTTGGCTCTAAGGCAGCCTCAGCTTAAGAAATTAAATTTGACAGGTGATTAGTCCATAATGTGGTGCAATCACTTCTGGTATTTGAAGGAAAAATTGAAAACAGACTAGATATTTAGCTTCGAAATGTCTGCTTCACATGTGATGGGCAGAAAATTCAGTCTCTAGCATCAAGAGCTACATGACAGGCAAAACAGGCTGATCTGAGGCCCAAACAAAGGTAGGGTAGTTGAGGCCAGCTGTGAATAGACAACCGTTAAGCAATAACCAGCATAGATTTGCTTTTACCTACTGGAAAATTTTCTGTTATTTCACTGGTAAGTGAAATTCCTCAGGGTAAATGACAAAGTCCAAGTCTCCCCCTTTGCTTGTTTTGTAGCAAGCTTTTCTCCTGTTCCAAAATTGATTTTTTTTTTTTTTAATACAGCAAAGGCTCAAAAATGGGCGTGTGGGGAAATAGATCCAGAATCTTGGCTTATATGTGGGTTCCCAGTCTGCTCCTTTACAGATTTCAAGCTTGGATCTGAACTCCTATGCCCCTGAGTTACGTAACTATAATAGTATGGTAGCTATAAAATGATTTTGCACTCACTTTCTGCGTATCCTGTTGCTCCAGGAAAGGGTTGTCCCACTGGCTGCGACACATTTGGCACCATGGGCTGAGGAGAACTATCCTCAGCATAAACCCTTCTCTTTATCTCTCTTACTCCTGAGGAAATGACATTTGTACCACTCTCCCTTTCTTGATGACTGTATTTTGTGAAAGAAAAATCCTCAGCAACACAAACATGTGTGTGGGAAGCGTGGGGCAGTGTAGGAAGTCAGGGATGGGCTCTGGTGCTGTGGCAGAAGTTGCTGCAGTGAAACTTTCCTCTTCGGCAAGGAGGAAAGAGAGAGCCCAGGGCTCCCAGTTTTCCTGCTGCACTCCTGGGGTATTTTAAGGGACTCGTACACGGACAGTTGCCCTTGGACTGAAAATTTGCAATTCGGATATCAGATAAATCTCGGCAGCTGAACCGGACAACGGTACAGCCATGGCTTTGGTCCAGTTAGGCTCATGAAGCATGAGTTAGTCTGTCGGAATGAGCAGCCAGTGTTTTCCACTACAAAGGCTTTCTGTGAAGCTATATTAGGCTGTTTTTAATGGAAAGTCATTCCTCAACAGTGCCCCTGGGCCAGTCAGGGTTAGGGAAGCATTAAATGATATCCAGTGCATGTGATACCCTTTGTCACACAGATGAAATCCGTTGAACTTGGAGCGAGCTCAGCAGTAACAACGTCCCTTATCTTTTAACAGAATGGAGCTTAGGTCTCTTATCTCTTCAGACGTTCAAGGCAAGTGGAAGCTTGACTGGATCTTCACTTTTCAGAATTTTCTGAGTTTCCAATCTTCTAGCTGGAAAACAACCAGGAAATGAGACAAGGGCTCTTCAGTGTGCTGGGACCAAATCCAGTTAGGAGCAACAAGACCATCTCCTTGCTTGCCATCAACCATCCTCTTCCTCTGCTGTCTGTAAAGGAGGCCAACAGGAGGCTTTAGCTGTGATGGCCCTGCTGGATCTAATGCATTACTGTGGCTGGAAACATTCATCATCTTCAGCATTAGCTCCTGACTGCATAGAAAAAGAGTAAAAAAGAAAACCTTTGTGATTACTAGAAATTATTAACTTTGTGACAGTCTGGATAGAGCTAACAGACCGGGATAAGTTGGGATATTTTCTTCTTCTGCCAGCTTTCACTAGTAAATGCTGATAACACTAAGGGCCTTTCTTATCATTCATATTTTGACAAATCTATTTTGCACACTCCTCAAATGCTGCTTTTGAGTCATTAACTCATCTTGGGCAGTTGATGCAACAGAGAAAAGATAAACACATTGATACGCACCACTGAAGGAAACCTGCCCTGTCCACTGATCTCTACTTGCTCAAGCCCAGGCTCTTGGGCTGAAGGACACAGAGGAAGCAAAGCCACCAAGCAGGCAGGAGCACGCTCAGGGTGCAGACTTACAAACATCCTCCAGACCAGCTCCACAAGAACCAACCCAACAGCCCAAAGCAAGATGAGGCAATCAAAACTTAAACACCTGTCCCACCCCAACCCCAGCTGAACCCTATAAGCAGAGATTTGCCTCTATCTATCTCACCTGTGACATACAAGCCATTGCAGAGCAGATATTGTTTACTTGGGTCGCCCAAGGCATCCAGTCTACATCTGACTCTCCCACCACACACACACACCTGGATGTGAAAGCACATATTAGCCTTATTCCTTAGCTTTAACTTGTCCTAAGGTGCCCTTGCAAGGGATGTTGTGCCTTGAGTAGACTGATGCTCCCATTAGACAGAGGAAGCAAGGGGACAGCTGATAAGCACTTTAACTTTTACTGACTTCTCTGTGCTGGTCTCCTAGCTCTTTTAATTCCCCTTTGAAAGCAGTAAAGGGAGGGCTTTTACATGCAGTTCATCTGAAATATCTCAGTAAAGTGACTTAAAATCTACTTTAATATTCTCCGTGACTGCAGGTTCCAGTGGCTGGTTTCTGATTTTCACAGCTCTTGGGTTTTCCTCTTTTTTTTGTAAATGCGCATGTGTGTTTCTCAGTTCTTTCTGTATGCTTATTCTTCCTCTAGCACAACTGACGGACAGATGGGTCTTACTATTTTGCTAGGCCTAAGAACTCTTGGCTGGACTCCTCACATGAGTAACACGGTGATAACTTAGTGGTCTTTCTGTGCCAGTCCGACGCTGAACAAAAAAGGAAAATTCAAGGGATTTATGAAAGGCAGAGGAAGGGGGAATTCATATAATAACAAGGCTGGGGAAATATTAACAGCTAGGAAGTAGGGAAATATTAACAGCTGGGAACAGCTAGGCAGAGTGTTTCTTTGGGTAACCTCAGTTGGACTCATTGCAGCTTCTGGGCATTTTAAAACAACCATAAAAAAAAAAAAAGAAAAAAAAGAAGAAAAACACCTCATCAAACAAACATGTCCAGCATTTTTTTTCTTTCTTTTCACAAATGCCATTAAAAAATGGGAGTGCAAAAGCAGCTTAGAGCTGACATTTCAAAGGGGGCTGGGGGTGGAGAGAAATTGCAAGGTAAACAGGACAGTTTCTATCTTCCTCCTACCTCCAGCCTGTGTGCAAGGAAAGATAACAGCAGCAGGAGAAAGCAGAGACTGCTATGGAATTTAGCTCTTTTTTTTTTTTCCTTTTTTTTTCTCCTTGTAATGGGGAGAGAGGAAGAGGCTGCATGTGCTTCTGAGGCGCCTCTCTTTGCTTTGAACCTTATCAACAGGGACTGTGCAATGCGGTTTCCCTTTCTCCCTCTCTTCTCCTCCTAACTTTTGAAGCAAAGCACTTACGTGCAGGGAATGTGGGAGCACCTGACAGCCAGCAAGGCAGGGGAGAAAGCCAAGGGCTTGGGAGGAGGGGGCTATTGGTTTTCCCCCTCCCCTCTTTTTCCGCTCCCCTCACCATTTTCTTGCTTTGATTAAAGAAAGAAGGACAGAAGAGAACAGTGCAGAGATATCTTCCCTACCCCTCCCTTAACAAGTCTCGAGAGCGTAGCCTGGGCTGAGTCAAGCAGATTGTTAAGGGAGAATGGTTGCCAATGGAATCTCAGGAATGCATTTTTTTTTCTTTTTTTCTTTTCTTTCTTTTTTTTTTTTTTTTAAGAAATAAAGGAAAGAGAAAAGGCCTCTTGTCATGGCTGCTTTCTATTTACAAAATGTTTGGCCTTTGTGGAGCCTATGGGGAATCTGGGAAGCCGCAGCTATCCTACATTCCCTTTGGAATACATCACATGCAAGATACCTTTGCAAGAGGGGATAACGTAGATACGAATCACTGGCCACAGTGTCAGCTTTGTGGCCTCTATTAATAGCACTTGGAGGGGTTCCTTAATCTGGTGGCTGGATGTGAAATTGGATGGATAGGCCAAGATTTGCAGGAGAGCCTTAAGATCGTGGAGGCATCTGAAGGGCAATCTAGAAATAGAAATTTTTAGAATGAAGTGAGCTCTGCTGAAGATCTGGCCTAGCTCTTATGATAAAACATGAATTCCTGACATCTAGCACCACGCTTTCACTCTGCACTGGCAGAGGTTGAGTGAGTTAGGCAAAGGTTCAAATCAAAATCCCAGACCTGGATTTCCAAGAAGCTTGGAGCCAGATCTGAGCTTTTGCAGATGGTCCCTCTATATATAATGAGGTCAATCAAAACATCTGATGTCAATACCATTGAACTTCTGGAGGGGGCACACATTGGAGCCCAGGAATATGGGATCATCTGGACTGTACGGTGGTTTCTGCCAATTGCTTTTCTTTCTTGGCAGGCTTGATGGTCCCCAGCTGTACTGTTGAGTCTCCTTTAGAATATGTTTGAGGTATAAATGAAAAGGAAAGGAGCTTTTCTGGACACTTTTTTGTGGTTGTTTTTTCCCTAGATGTTTTGTAACATATTCTCTTTAAAGGGAAGGGACTATGTGAATAAGGAATGAATAACTTGTCAAACATTCCATATTTTAATGATGAAGAAGGAGTCAGAAGCCTAGAAAGGACCTTTCTAGAAGCCCAGCTGCCTCCTGCACAGAAACTGGGCAGAGGAAGCGCATCTCTTCTGAGTACAGATGTGTTCAGAGTAACCAAAAATCCCAAACACCCAGTTCTGTCCCGCTTTGAACATGACAGCTCAGAACTTGTTACCTACTAGTAACAGAAAAGGGGTAAGACAAGCAGCGTTAAGTGAAATTGCATCTTGAGTGTCCTGGGAAAGCCGTTGGCATCAGTGGTCCCTACAGGTGGTCCTACCATGAGTGAGCATCCCATCTAGTTTATTAGCCACCTCCTACAAGGTAATACTACTAATGACCTTGGCTAATGATCTTGGCTAATGACCAAGACTACTCCTGACCTTGCATTGCTCTTATTAGAGAGCAGGGTATGTACAGGATGGATAACACAGGGCAGGAGGAAGTTGGGAAAGATGTTTTACTGCCACTGAAACAATGCAACCTGTCCCTAGAGGATTATGGCCTCCTCCAGGGATGCTGCAGGCAGGAGGAAAACCAAGTTAGATCCAAGCAGATCTTGGAAGCAGATGAGGGAGATGCCTTCCATCAGTGAGCTGGAGGAGAAGACATGGCAACAGCAGTGGATCCAAGGGATTTGGAGGTGGAGAAAAGGGAAGCTTTGGACCAAGAGCGTGGGGAGGCTGTCATGAACAGCCTTATCAAGCAGTGCTTGCTGTGAGCGTTCGAAGGCAGGTGGCTTCTTTTTTTCTCAAGAAGGAGTGAGAAAAGTGTTTTCAATCCCTCAGTGGTTACTAGGCTCTTGTTGGGTCATTTGGACTCTATTTCTGGTGTTGCTTATACCGTACCACTGCTCTCAGTCAATCTGTGTCCCCAAATGCTACTCACAGAAATAAGAAATTCAAAAGCAGAAGGTGCATGGTACGACAAAGGGGGCAGGCATGGATTGCGTGTTACTTTCACACAACGTAGAAAAGGAGACAGGAATCAGTGAGGGATTCTTATAAACTGAAGGTGTTTGAGAGAGCAGTTTTAGGCTGCGATGGAGTGGGAACAAGGCCATCCTGAATCCCATGCGAAAACTCAGGCCAGGTTTCAAGAGGAGCCTCTTCTCCATCTGCTTTTCTTTTGGCCTGGCTCTGCAGCCCTGTGCAGATCTCCAATTGCTCCAGTTTTATTCAGCCATTCAGGCGAATGCATCTGTACTGGGTCTTTGCAGCTAATGATTTGCGCTAGCACAGATGGCTCCTGTATGTGCTGGTACTAATTGGGCTGCTGCCTCGCTGCTGCCTAAGCTGCCATCCTGGCATGCCCCGTGCTGTGCAGAGCACCTCGAAGCACACAGCGTCCAAAATCTCCTCAGAACAGCAGCCATCAGAGCGCTGGGGCAATGCAGCACCCATGTCGTTCATGAAAGGCTTGCTCCTCAAGCCAGCTGGGCAAGAAGGTTATCTCCTTGAGAGCACAAGGGCCTTCAGTCATTCAGTGTGCAAACAGCAAAGGAATAGAGGTTCCTGCAGCCTCTCCACTCTCATTGCCAAGCTCAGCCTTCTATCTCCATCATCTGCTTTTCTCCAGCTGCGAAAGAATGAAGGGAAGAGTCCTCTTTCCATAGAGTCCTATTCCCCATCAGATCCCAGCCTGCTGTTTTGCAGGTGACAGTAGGTTTGATTCTCTCATTACTTCTTATTCACTCTTTTTGCTAGGCTGCTCTAATCTTGCAGCAGGGGACTGAAAAAAAACATAGAGAACACTATTGCTTTTCAGAAATATCCATGTGGAGGAGCATCAGGATGCGGGAATCAGCAGACTCAAGTGAAGGAAAATACAGGAAATAATAAAAGATAATAAATCTAAAGTGGCAATTAAAAGCTTTTAATCATTAGATTCACCATGCTATGGGCCACCTCTTCTTCAACACATACGGTGAGGCCAATCTCCTAAATAGGTATTGAATGACTTGATGCCTGCAGCTAAAGAGGCATAGAGTTTGATTGTTTAGGAAGTCCTTTCCAATTAAAATGCCGTGGAAATGTGGTCAGTGTGTCAGTATGACACACTAGAATATCTTGGCCCAACTACATTTAGATCACATGAAATCCACATGGGTTCAGATCCTCTTTACCTTGCAGGGATTTCAAGTTGAGCCTCCCTGGAGCACTGAATGCTACAGATTAATGGTCAAAAACCATCTGTAAGCCAGGCTCGCTTCTACCTGGACATGGGCTGGTTGTGTTTCCAATAAGGTGCACTTGGTATGTTCACTAGCACAGCAGCTGCATCCTGCAGTTAGTGTACCTAAAATAGAAGACTTTTTTTGTTTAAGCAGACATACTGTGTGTTGTAAATTCAGCAGCACTCCAGGTGTGTCTAGGCAGAATGCATCTGCTAAGCCTGGTGCAGTGATTTAAAAAGATCTCTAGATTTTGTTTGCGCTAAAGCTCCTGTGTTCCTTTCCCAGTAAGCCAAGTGTAAATAGAAATAATACTTGGGATCTTCTAATT